ATACCCTGACATGCATAGACACCACACACACACACACACACACACACACACACACACACACACACATTTCCTTCCTCAGGAAAGCAAACTGTGTAATGGCTAAGAGTTTGGGCTTTGAGTCAGACAAAACTGGGAATACCAATATTATCTCATAGGGTTAATGTAGGGATTAAACGAGTTTGTTTATATAAAGTGCCTGACTCAGAATACATACTCAATATTCAGTAGCTACTAACTTCTTCTATTTGTGTAAAATGCTTAGATAAGTTTCTCCAAGATTTCTCCATTGTGGTTTACATGCTATCACTGGGGTATTGCGCCTTCATTGATTAGAGAGACCATATGAAAAAACACACCCAGCAAACCTGAGAGAAACTTATCTGAGCATTTATATAAATAACCGGTGCTGGCTGGTTATTTTGTACAATGGTTGGAGTACAGCAAATAGTTAATACAATTTAGCTTCTAGTATTACTAATAAATTAGTAGATCTCTGTGGGAGAGTGGGCATGGACATAGTGGTATGGTAGTATCCAGTAGGAGCTGCAGGAGGTAAATTCCATGTCTTCAGACACTATTCATTAACTCCTAGGTATAGCACTAAGTATATTTAAGAAGACCTTTGACTCCTGAGGGTTAACCAGAGTGGATTAAGGGATTCATGATGTCTACATGTCTTATTACTGGTGACATTTGCTTTGATCCCTTGGCTAAGTTGGTGTCTTCCTGGTTTCTTCACCGTAAAGTTTTTGTAGTTGATAGGTATTTCTTGCAGAAGATGCTGAGACTATACAAATACTGTTTGTCCTTAAACTTTTACCCACTAATTTTAGCATCATCTGTGGATCTTGTCTGAAATATTTATTACTGTGGTATTTGCTAATGTGGTCTCTATTTCCCTCTTCCTTCTACATTTATTAATTCAATTTCTACTGTAAGGAAGGGCTGTCTCTTTCCTTACTCCTCCTCCATTTATCTATTTATTTATTATATCAGTATGGCCTCATGGATATTTGTTTTACTGTATAAGTGAAAACCTTCTACTATCATTATTTTTTGTTTAATTGTTCCAGCTTTGGTCATCAGGAGCTTCTTCACATTGGCTCCTGTGTTCTTTGACAAGCCTGCATCTGGTTTTGAGCCTTTCCTTTCTGGCACAGAAAGTATTCCTGACTCATCTTGTATTTTCCCTGCCCCAGTCTTGAAAACAACCATTTCTCCTTTTATTGGAGAATACAGTTTAGACCTAGGTGCTAGGTGTATTCACTGTTTAGGGTGTCATTGCTTCTAGATCCTCTCAGGGGACAGAAATAGGTAATGTATGGAATATCCTAATGCACACATACTTATAATAACTATATTTCTGTATATATATTTTTAAACCATGAGTTTATACTGATACTCCTAATCCTAATCCAAAACCACAAGGTTCATTTTAGCTTTCTCTCTTTCCTTATTTATAACTTCTTTTTCCAACAGTGAAAAATTCAGGTCTCATTATCTAGTATTTATATATTTGTTTCAAAATGTGTGTTGTTTTGGTTTTTTTTTTTTAGAAGTGTTTTCCTCAGAACCCTATATGTCGCCAAAAGATATGGTGAATGTTTAAACAGAAAAAATTTATTACAGTCAAACACACATTGCCATTAATCTCCCTCAAAATACTCCCCCTTTCTTTAAACACACTTATTGCATCACTCTTGCCACTTTCTGAAGCAGTTCTGGAAGTCCTCTTTCATGAGTGACTTTAGTTGCACTGAATCATTTTGACTTTGGGGAAGAGCCAGAAGTCGCATGGTGCCAGATCTGGTGAATAAGGTGGATGAGGACACACCGCAATGTTTTTATTTAACAGAAATTGCTGTACCAGAATCGATGTGTGCATGGAACGTTGTTATAATGGAAGATGAGATAAAGACCCTCCTGAAAGAGGACTTCCAGAACTGATTAAGAAAGTAGGGTTGCTGGAACCTCATATAAATCCCTGCTTTCTGAGCAGACCAAAAGGAAGTCATCCTGAGTCGAAGATCTTTTAAAATGTTAGTAACGTGACCTAGGGGTTTTTGAATGGGTTACTGACAATCTAGAATTCACTCTGAGTCCTGGCTGATGCTGACAGATATTCCCATGCTCCTCTACTACTTCCCACACAGCCAGACATGATCTTTTAACCTCTTAGTACTCCCTACCAGATGCTGATACTGATTCAACCCTGCCTTGCACTCATGGATACTGTTTTTGAAAATCAAATGAGAGAATCAGTGGGTACATGCTTTGAAAATTATGCAATGCTAAGTTAACTGAAGGGCCTTGGAAGGTGTCTGCTGTAAGAGGATTTGAACTATGCTTATTACTGGTGACATTTACCTACACACTCAGATGCACTCCATCTTGACCCACCTGGTAAAGGAGCTCAGAGATAGCTCTTCCTGTTCTGACCAACCTAAAACTGAGAGGCAGAAGTATTCTAAAACTACAGTGAAGGTGAAGCTGCTATAGTGAATAGAGTGGATAACAAGACAGGATATCCTGGAAATCTCTTAAAATAGGAAGGTCAAAATGCTTTGGGTATTGAGTAATTTAAAAATATTCATTCATTTATTCAACAGCTATCTGATGAGTGCCTTATGAAGGGATGAAGAAATGAGAAATGCCATCCCTGCCCTCAAGAAGTTTAGAGTAGGGAATCCCAAGCATCACTAGAGTAGGGAATATGATAGCTACCATTTCTTCCTTTTTTTTTTAAGATTTTATTGGGGAATTGGGGAACTGGGGAATTGGGGAAGGGGAACAGTGTTGGGGAATTGGGGAAGGGGAACAGTGTTGGGGAATTGGGGAAGGGGAACAGTGTTGGGGAATTGGGGAAGGGGAACAGTGTTGGGGAATTGGGGAAGGGGAACAGCCAAGTTGTTGTCCTTCAATCTTAGTTGTGGAGGGCGCCAGTTGCCATCTGGCCGCCCGTCAGCAGCTCGTGGACGCTCAGCTCAAGGTGCCGTGTTCAGTCTTAGTTGCAGGTGGGCGTAGCCCACCATCCCATTTGGGAGTCAAACCAGCAACCTTGTTGTTAGGAGCACGTGATAGCTGCCATTTCTTGAAGACCTACTGTGAGTCAGGAACAGTGGTGGTCTTCATGTGATCTTATTTAATACAGGTCTACATATTACCTCACTTAATACAAGTAATTATCTTGAAGGTAGATATTAACAATCAGGTAAAGAAATTTGTCCAAGATTACAATCATAATTGGAATCTAGGTCTGCCTGCCCTCTAAAACTCATGTTCATTCCCCCACACTAATAAGGTGAGAGTAATCCATTCACTGACCGAGTACTTATTGCAAGCCTCTTTTTGTTCTGGGGTTCACGTTCTACTGGAGAAAGACAATAAACAAGACAAATAAATATTTTAGTACGTCAGCTGGTAAGTCCTGTGAAGAAAAGTTAGCCAGGATAAGGATAAGGGAAAGGGGGTTGCTAATGTAAATATTTAGACTCATCAGGGAAGACTCTGATAATGTGAAGTTTGAGTGGAGACCTAAAGGAAGTGCAGGAGCAAGAGATAGGACTGGCATGAAGAAGAGCTTCCTCCTTTGCCTGCTTATGGATTAAGCCTAGAAAAGAGGGGGCGCGATAGGGTTTAGGTGTTTATGGAAAGGATGGGCTCCGAGTCAGAAGACTTGAGCTTTATTTGATTTATTGAGAAATCACTTACCTTTGAGCCTCAATTTTCTTCCCTGAAAATGGGACTAATAGTCCTTGCTCAGCTTCCCGCACGCAGCTACCATGAGGATGAGGTAGCCCATGTAAGAACTCTTTGAAAATAACACAAGTGAGAAAGCAAGACCAGGAGTCAGTTTTTCAACGGGAAGGAAAAGTCTGTGTAGAAAAATAAAAGGAATTCCTATTTCACATACACGGTTGCCCTAGACATCGTTTTTGAAAAGCTGTCTCAGGCTTAAAAGAGAAATAGCCTACAAGAAATAAGCATAGGTTTCATAACAGGCCTCTGCAGAAGATCCCTGTTTAATTTACACTATTCAGAAATTTGAGTCGCGTGTTTTTACTAAACTCTGGGATTAGCATCTTAATCGCCACGCCCCACCTTGTCATTTGCCTTCTTGCCACGCCCCCTCTCGAACTCCATTTCCCAACACGCCCCGGCTTCCTGTAACTCGGCAGTCATTGTGACACAGGTTCCACAGCTTTCTGGGAATTGTAGTTTATTGGGTCTTCAGCTGCGGAACGCTCTGCGGCTGTGGACTACCACTCCCGTAAGGTAGTGCGTAATTCCACCCCGTTCGCGGCGTCTTCGAACGCGCCGCGGCAGCCATGTTGGATGTGTCCAGCACTGGGGCCGGCACCTGGGGGTTATCGAAGCAGCTGTCACGATGCTGGGTTCCCTGGTGCTGTGGAGAACAGCGCTGGCGCCGCGTCTCCTCCTCCAGCTGCTCAGGTCCCCATCGCTCCGGAGCCATGGAGGTCCCTCTGGCCGGAGTGTGACCATCGGGGGCTGCGGAGAGTCACAGTGGCTGAGTACAGCCATTGGAGGGCGCCTTGGAACATCGCTGGCCTTGCTCACCCGAGGAGGGGCAGCCACGAGGGGGCGCCAGAGAGGACGCACCGAGACCCAGTGCCTTGCAGCCGCCACATGGGGACGCCTTCCTAGCCTGGAAGAAACACTCCCAGGACACGACAGCTGTAATGGGGTCCCCAGCAGGGCCGGACTGGGCATGTGGGCCCTGGCCACGGCGCTGGTGGTTCACTGTTACAGCAAGAACTCGTCCAACAAGGGTGATTATCGGGACAGTATGGGTTCTAGGAAGGGAGAGGCTGGAGAGGCGGGAGGAGTGTCCTGACTGTATCTTTGGAGGGTGGGAGTTGCCTTATAGATTTAGAATACAAGAGTCTCAGTCCTAGAGGGACCCAGACATCATCTAGTCACAGGAGTAGAGTTTGCATTGGAGAAGCCCAGTGCCTCTGAGTTGTATAGTTTCCCATCATAGATCAGCCTTCCTTCTTTGGGCATCACTTTGTGCGTCTGTACAATGGGAGCATTGGACTACATATCTAAAACTAGAGCATGGTCCTTTTGTGCTCTAATATTTTGCCCGGTCCAGTTCCTTTTTTAAGCGGTCTCCAGGAAACTGCGGTGTGTTTTAAGGGCAATCGCTAGATGGTTTAGCAAAGTTTACCCCTAAATGGCCTAAGAAAGAAAAAAAGAAACTTGGTTTCAATTCCAGCTTTGCCACCGCTCACCCCTTGCTCCTCTCTGGCTTCAGTTTCCCCACTTACACAGTGAAGGATAATTTCTCATTACTCTTACAGTGCTGTTATTTTTACTCCTCTTGTAGTTCAGCATCCTGGGTCTGTCCATCAGTCTCCCAGGGTTCTGCTGGGCCTGTCTCAGGCATGAAGTGATTTTGCAATATGGGGCCATTGGCAGGAGAAGGAAGACTAGAAGTTGGCTCCGTAGAGACTCAAAGCAACTATGGAGGCTGGCTGACCCAGGTTGGCATCTCATCTGGGTACATGAAGCTGAGCAGGGACTGGGAGAGTAGGCAGAGAGCCAGACTTCTGGCCTGCATGAGTCCAACCGCTCAGGTTCTCAGTTGTTCCTCAAGGGGAAAGACTGGGGCATGATGTTCATAGATTCCATGTAGCCCAAGCTTTGAGACTTTGGAGTAAGAGGTGCCACTGCCTTAACATTTGTTTATTTAGCAGCTGCAAAGGAAAGGCCTTGGACTGGGAGTAAGGACAACTGGGATCTTGTTTTTGTTACCTCTAACTTCCATTGGCTTTGAACTCTTGCTTCTCCTCACCAGCTGTCTGTTCCCTTATCTACAAAGTGAGGATGTTGAAATAGACGCTAAGGGCTCTTCTAGTTTAGGCATGCTGGGATTCTATCACTTTCAGCATTTTTTGAATACCCTCTGTGTGCCTAGTTTGGGACTAGGTGTAGAACTCCTAACTTAACACAAAGTTAGTTAAGTGGACAGTGCAGGCAGTTAGGCCTGTGGGTCTGGTGAGTGGTCTGTGTGTAGCTGGGGGATCAGAGGCCCAACAGGGTCATGAAAGCTATCCTGGAAGATTGGAGACCCCTGGAGGATGGGGAATTTGAACTTGAGTTCTGAAGGATGAGGCAAGAGATGAAAAGCCCTCCCTCACTGTGACCTCCATGAGAGCAGGAAATGCATCTTATCTTTTCTCCTGATACCAGTTCCTTTCTTTAATTAAACCTTCACATTGTCCATCATAGTGTCTCAAATGTAGTAGCAAAGGCTTCGGGGAACAAAGATATGGGAGTCACAGGCCAATATGGTGTATGCAGGCGCTAGCAGAGTGGCCAGCCTGGTTGAAGAACAGGGGCGTCTTTGGGATGAGGTGAGAGCAGATGGAGGGGGGCCTGGATGTCAGGCAGGAGGTTTTGGAATTTCTCCTGTAGGCAGTAAAGAGCCATGTAAAGTTCATGAGCTCAGGGAATGTCCAGAGCCAGTATGTTTATCGTAGATGGATTAGGGGACGTATCCAAGGTCTTGCCTTATAGGTTCTTGGGGGCTCTGAACTGGACTTTCTGGCATATGAACCCCCAGCAAGGGGACCAGGGTCTATTTACCAAAATAGATAATGACTGAAACCATGACCATTTCCGACCCTTCTGACTTGCTAGCTACCCTGTCTCCTGACTTGGAGTTGTAAGCTCAGGCCCTCAGTGGAGCGTGGTAGAAATTGTACACTGTAGGAGCCAGTAGGCTCTGGTTCTAAACTCATTCCTCAGTCCTTCTGTGACCTTGTAGAAGCTACTTCTTTTTGCAGAATGAGGGAACAGTGGATGCAGCGATCTCTGAGGAATGCTTGCTCCCCTTCCAGCTGGGCGCTGCTTGAGTGCATGCTTGAAGAACAGTTGGGGAAAGATAACCAGGAAAGACCTGGCCCTGGCTGGGAAGTGGGATGAAGGCACTAACGTTTGAACCACAGAGCTGGTTTGCATATGCTTGGTAAGGTGGCAGTCTTATCCCTATTATACAGATAAGGAAACTGAGGCTCAGGACGTTAGGTGGGTTGGCCAGGTCATACAGCAAGTAAGTGGCAGATCTGGGATGGGAGCCCAGGTCTATCTCCAGATCCTCTCTTTCTAACCTGCTCCAGTGCCTCCTCTCATGTTTTGCTGGAGGAGTCTGGGCTGGACTGAGAACTCTCTGAGGCAGACTGGACATGAGTCTGTCCAATGGTCAACAGTGGAGCTCAAAACCAGGCTGGGCACACAGGGCTCCACAAGCACTTGGTATTAAGTATTTGAAAAAAAATTGTGCTTCTGCTGTTGTCTTTTGAGATTTCTCTGAGTCGGGTGGTTTTTCTTTGTGGCCACAAGGTGGTGCCAACAGCCTGCAGGGTGGGCCAGGCTTAGCCTTTCTGCTGGGTGATTCCTGAGGGATCCGAACCCTCTATTTTGTGCCTCCCTTCGCTGGGCTTGGCACCGGGGAGTTTGCAGATTTTTCACCATCATTTCATCTCCTCAGCATTCTTAGGACACTGTCAGGGCAAGGATTGTTGCCTCTGTATTATCGTTGTGGAAGCTGGGGTAGAGCTGGAGAGGTGCTGCTACAGTACTTGGTGAGGGCGGGGCAGTGTTGGAGCCGAGCCTGCCGACTCCGGGTCCTGGCTCTCTACCCTCAGGGGTCCACACCCCTGCCTGCTCCTCCCTGTCCTGTCTGGGTTTGTGACCTGTCACATCAAGATTCAAAAGTAGGCTGAGAAAGGAATTGGGGGAGAAAGTAGGGACTAGGCAGAGGAGTGACTAATAACAACAGACATGTAAAACATACAGAGCTTTATAGCTAATGGGGAGTGAAGGAATTCACACACTGAGCATTTACCATTGGCAACACATGGTACTAGCACTTTACCGGGATCACCTGCGTGGCGACAGGAGTTAGGAGTTTGGGCTGTATCATAGAAAGATGGGGAGGACTCATTAACAGTGGATACCATGTTGGCAGGGGATGTAGCCTTCTCTTCACTTACAGACATACCTTATTGTTTTGTTTGTTTGTTTTAAGCTGAGCCATCCTGCCACCTTTTGGCAGCTCAGTGGCTGCTCAGCTCTGGCCGGGAATCAAACCGCTGTTGCTCAGAGCTCAAACTCTTGAGCGAGTTCTTACCAACTGAGCCACTCAGCTGGCCCTGGCATACCTTGTTTTATTGCACATCACTTTACTGTGCTTCACAAATGTCGGGTGTTTTATAAATTGAAAGCAAGACCCTCCACCAGCAAAAAGATTATGGCTCACTTCATTGCGATTCTCACTCTATTGCGCTGGTCTGGAATCAAACCTGCAATATCTCCAAGGTATGCCTGTATCATGGCATCGTTTCCCTTGTTAAAGCCCATGTTTCTGAAGTGCTTCCACTTCTGCCGTCTTGCTGGGGCCTCTAAGCTGCCTCGAGGGGTAGTCTGGCCAGGGATCTGACCAGTGCCCCATCTCTCTTCAGATGCAGCCCTGATGGAAGCTGCTCGTGCCAACAATGTCCAAGAAGTCAGCAGGTGAGTGTCAAACCCCAGGAGGTGCTGAGTGGGTGAGCCCCTTTCTCTGGTGATGACTGCCTTGGAGGAAATCCTTTCACTAAACTGGCAACTGAACTCTGTAGTCACAGAGTCACCTGGGCTCTCTTGGTGAGCCCTGCGTCTTTTTTTTTTTTTTTTAACCCCAGACACCTCTGGATCCTTCCACTGTTTTTTTAATTCCTAGGACATGGTTTGGAGTCCCCTCCACATCCTGTGGGTTCTTCACCAAATCTTCCTGTTTGTTCTTGTTTCTTTGCTTGTTACCTGGATGGGGTGCAGGTGGGCACCCATGGAGACGCTTAGGAATTTGGGAGGGAGCTGGAAGAGACCTTTCTGTCAGGTCTTCGGGGACTAGAAATACCTGCCTGCAGGGCTGGGGTGCACATGCTGGGGGCCAGCCCAGGGGCTGACCACTCTCCATTCTCCCTGGCTCAGCTGGGCCCCTTATGACCGCTGGCTGGTTGGATCTGAGGCTTGTTCTTGGGCAGGGGCAGGACTCAGCTCGGGACCCAGCCTGGTGCCAGGGGGCAGGGCAGAGTCTGTGTCCAGGATGGATGCTCAGACTGGGGCCAGCATCAGTATGGGACTATTGGTTAGGAGCAGAGGTTTTATTCTCGGTGAAACTAGTAGCCCCCACTGGGCCTAATCTTGATCCTTTATGGCCTGTTGTGTAGAGCTAAATGGCCACAGGACACTCCCCTATCCCTGCTATCACGTCCGCATTTTAGATAAGAGATGCGGTGTCTGGGGTGGCTAGCCCTGCACCCAGTCCCACACACGCATGGTGCTGTCCCCCACTCCAGCTGCCTAAACATACAAGAAAGTGTTGAAAGGCAGCTACAGCCCCCACCAAGACTTACTGCTTTGATTCCTTTTCATTTTATCTGCAGCATTATTATTGATTCTCAAGGGTGCTTTTGAGTATTAATGTTCAAGGCTTAGTTTTTAATAAACCACTTTTGGAAGTATGGGCTGGGAGTTGTTTCGTAGCCTAATAAATATGATAGAGCAATAGTTTAATAAACATGCGATGATGCATCTTAAAAACCAAGCACAGATGTCAGCTTGTTGTTATAAGAGCCATTCATAACTGCAGGCTGTGCGTGGCATCTTCATTCCCCCAGAAACAGATGAGCCTCGCTTCCTTCTGCTGCAGTACAAGGGAGTGAGGGGGCGAGACTGGCTGGGCCCCGTCCTCTGAGGCCTTTGCTGACCCTGGAATCACCTGTTGGGAACTGCTAAGGGCTGCCAGGCTGCTGCTTTCCTCCGTAGCCCAGTGTAGGCAGTGCATTTGCAGAACAGCAATGCTGTACTCCACCTTCCCGTCACCCAGGGAGGCTGAGTTGACCCTAGTCCATTGAGCCCCCCACGTGTGGATTATTTTAGCTCTTTCAGACACACGTTTTTCTAATACCAGTTAAACGCCTGCCCAAAGAATAGAGAAAGTGATTGAATTGATGGTGTGTGTGTGACTCACAACATTCATTCTTGTCTGTGTGGGCAGGGTGTGGAGAGGCCTTTCATGTGTGTTCCAGTTTCTACCCTGCTGTTTGCCTGCGTCCTCTTGTCCCGTCTCTCTTGGGTGTGATGACTCAGTCAGAATCTCCCTTCACCCCTTTGTGAGGGAGTCAGAGATGAACAAGGCACGGACCCTGCCCTTTAGCATGGCAGCCTCCTCCCTGCTCTCCCCCAGAAGCAAAGAGCAGGGAACAAGCTGAGCGGAGGCAGGGGACGGAAGATGCTGGCTGGCGGCTGGGCCCGGTGCCATGTCGCTGCTGCTGCGGTGGGCCCGTGCAGAGCTGCAGGGTGTGGGGAAAGAGAAGGGGATTTGAGCGAACCTGGAATGTGCAGGCTCTGGAATGCCCACAGTGAGGAGTTCTGGATTCTTATGTAAGAGCACTGGGGAGACACGGGAGGTTTTTGAGCAGGGAAATTGCCCAGTTAGGATCATTCAGAAGGGTGAAGGATGAACTGAATTGGGGAAAGGCTGAAGGCAGATCTGTTGAGAGGCTATTTCAGTAAGACAAATTCAAGGTAATGAATGCCTGAATAAGGACATCCTTCCCTCCTCCTCACCCAAGACAGTTATTGCTTATGAATGAATGACTGCGCCTCTGCTAGGCGCTAGAGGTAGGGAGGGATGTGTGTGACCCTGGCTCTGGTTTCAAGGAAACAGACACGTACCCTACCAGCTATAGCTCTTCCTCCTAACAGAGCTAGGCCTAGGGGTGGGGTTGGGGAAAGGGACCATCCTTGCTAGAAGGAAACTTTCTTGAATTCCTACAATAGGTCCTCATTCAGCCTTTCTACGCCCTAGGCTCTGCATAGGTGTTTTCTGCTACTCTTAATTTCTTCCTCTGCATGTCCTGGCCCTTAGCTCTGCCCAACAGACCCGCCTATAGCAGGGTAGAGTCCCATTCTCAAAAAAACAAAAAAAACCTTACACATAGTTTATACATGATTGGGTCACTATGTGTATAAGTATGATCAATATTTGGAATAAAACATAGACCTGGCAAGTAATATTGCCCTCTACCCTGTTTTGCCCTGCCCTCTTTGGGGCTCTGTGCTGTGTGTGTGTCTATCCTCCCCAGCCCCAGAGCCTTGGGAGAGTCAAGGGCAGCGGCCGGAGGCTCTTCTCAGAGGGGAGGTGCTTGATTCACCTCTGTAAGGGCACTCTGGCGTCTGCAGGCCCTGGGCCCTCCGCACAGACTGCCCTCTGTACTCGCTGCTCCTCACCTTCTCCGTAAATCCTCGCAAGCCTTCCAGGCCCTTGAGAAGCCTTCCTTGACCCCTCCCCACTGGGTGTGATCTCCCCTTCCTTTGCCCTGCTGGTCTGGGAGGGTATGGGTGTCATCCAGGGAGGGCTGTGCCAGCCTGTGGAAGGAGAGGAATCCTTACCTAGAAGCAAAGTTGGAGGTCAGGTGAGAAAAGCAGGGCTGAGCATCAGGACCGAGGAGGCTCTCAGTCCACAAACAGGAAACCCAGCAAGGTTCACATACTGACCGAATCAGGAACAGGTCAGGGATCCTCACAGAGTATGAGCTGATCAAGCCAAAAGCTCTGGACAGTTGCCCTGACGTGTGGGCACTATTGGCCTGCTTTATATGGTGCTAGTAACTAACTGTGTGGTTTGGAGCTGCCTGGCTAATGGAGCAGGGTAGGACCTGCCATTTCCATGCCTTGTTCTTTTTATAAAGAAAGCTGTGGGCTAGACTTCATCTTAAACCACTAGGCTGTGTGCCTCCCCAGGGCAGGGACAAGGTCTTGTTCCCTGCATCTCTTACTCTATTCTCCGGCACAACAGAATTTGGGGTAAGTTACTTTATACTGACTTTTCAGCAAACATGAAGCGGGCAGTCCACAGTCTTATTTCTTACTTCCGTGGGCTGTGTCAGCAGGAGGCTGGGTCCCTTCCTTTTCCTTCTCTCCTCCTTTCTCCCCATGTGGCAACTGTTAGTGCGTTCAACTCTTCAGGAGTGGAAACCCGGTCCCAGATCCCCTGTCCCACCTGTCAGCAGCATGAGCAGGTGGCCCTGCGCCCAACCCAAACCGCAGCCTGGCTTCTGGATTCAGGAACCACTCACCCGAAACCAGGGCACAGGGCAGACCGAAAGCACATCTGTCCAAGCTCCAACTGAGCCATGCGATGTGAGGAGCTGTCAGGGCTGGGAGAGGTGAGGCCTCCTTTTCTCCCAGTGGAGATCACGTTTCCTTCTGAACAAACGAGTGAAAGACAACACCCCTACCCATTTCCCTTCTCCCAGCAGGGAGCTGGGCCACCCTGGTGAGTGCTGAACTCAGTTGTTCATCAGCCTAAACATTCTCTAATGAAGGAAGCCTGATGGTATAAAACCTGAACTTCAGACTGCCTGCCCTTTCTCTCCTGGGTTCATTTGTTCATTTGACAAAAGTTTACTGAGCACCTGTCATCCTGGGTCCTATGCTTGGTACAGGGGACACCTGACTAGGTATGATTCCTACCCTAGATGAAGGAGTCTGGGCGAGACTGTGGCAACACGGTTTGGTCAGTGCCAAGAGACAGGAGCCCAGAACATGCCCCTAACCAAATTGGGGGACTGGAGGAAGCTCCTCGAGGAAATGGCACCCAATCAGAGTCTTAAAATACCAGTAGGGCTTAGCAAATAAAAGGGGAGGGCATTCTAGGCGAAGGGGACAGCGTAAGTGGTAGCACCAAGACAAAAACAGCCTAGGGTATGTGGTGGGCAGGGGGAAATTACATCGTGTTCAGTGTTGCTGGGCCACATTCTGAGGCTAGGAGGGACTGGAGATGGAGAAGGACCTGGTCATGGAGGACATTGTCCATTTGTCCCAGTCCCTCGTCTGTCCAGCCTGTCCCCTCTGGCTAGCCCCGAGCCATTTGTGTTGGTGGCTACACAATGAGGAAAGAGATGTTCCTGCCCTGGAGGAACCCCCTCACCCCTTCCCCAGGTGAAGAGGGAGCCCATGAGTAAAAAACTGAGAACCAGCAAAACAAGGCACACACTGCCCAACTTCTGTGAGCATAAGAAACATGGAAGATGATAATACCAATAATGCACAGAATTGTAGAGTGTTTATTATTAATAATGAAAGTATTACTTCACTCAGCCAATATTTATGAGTGCTTATTAGGAGCTAGGCATTGGGCTGAGTGCTGGAGAGACAGTGAACAAGACTGGCCCCGTCCTGCCCTCTTGGTTACTTACAGTGTAACTGGGAGCCAGATGACTAGTTATGTAATTATAACAATGTACTTCAAAATGAGTACAATTTGTCTTCCAACAAATGGTGCTGGGACAACTGAATATCCATGTGTAAAAAATGCAGTTGAAGTCCTACCTCACTCATACACAAAAATTAACTCAAAACGGATTATAGACCTAAATATAAGAGCTAAAACTATAAAAAACTCATAGAAGAAAACATAGTAAATCTTAGTGACCTTGAGTTGACAAAGCCTTCTTAGATATGGCACC